AGGTGAGGATCATTTTTAATTTTTTAATAAAAATTTAAAGAGCCTGGCTGGTGTGGCTCAGTTGGTTGGGTATCATCTCATGCACCACACAGTATCAGCCTGTAGACTAAAGGGTCCTGCACTTGATTCAAGTCAAGGGCATGTATCTCAGTTGCAGGTTTCATCCCTGGCCCTGGTGAAAGCACATGCAAAAGGCAACTAAAAGATGTGTCTATCTCATTTTGATGTTTCTCTCTCTGCCTCTCCCCCTCACTTTCATTCTCTCTAAAAAATCAATGGAGCCCTAACCGGTTTGGCTCAGCGGATAGAGCGGATAGAGCGGATAGAGCGGATAGAACGTCGGCCTGCGGACTGAAGGGTCCCAGGTTCGATTCAGGTCAAGGGCATGTACCTGGGTTGCGGGCACATTCCCAGTAGGGGGCGTGCAAGAGGCAGCTGAATCGACATTTCTCTCTCATCGATGTTTCTAACTCTGTATCCCTCTCCCTCTCCCTTCCTCTCTGTAAAAAATCAATAAAATATATTTTTAAAAAATCAATGGAAAACTATCCTCCGTGAGGATTAACAAATAAATAAATAAATAAATAACCCAACCAAACTGAAAGAGAAATTATGAGAAAAACTATAGAGTATTACTATACCCAGTTAAGCATTTTTCAATTATAAAATAAATATATGTATGTGTGTAGCAGGGGAGAATATCTATATAAAAAAATCTCAGCTTTTAATAAAAACTCAGGTTAACAAAAAGAATGCTTATTCAGAAAAATACCTAGCAATATGATTTTTCTCTTAAAAGCTCAGTTTTAAATATGCGTCACACCACGTAAAAATACAAATTAAGAATATTCCAAAAATAATTCTTTTTACAGGAGGAATGGATTTTTCAATAATCATTTTAGTATGCAACCTCTAAAGACAAAGCTTGGTTTAATGATCCACAACACTAACAATGGGGAGAAACCAAGATGGCGGCATAGGTAATCAACTGAAATTGCTGCCTCGCACAACCACTTCAAAACTACAACTAAAAGACAAAACAGACACAACCCTAACAATGTTAACCATGAACACAATACCATCTTATCGCTGAGACAAATTGACAGTAAAATATAGAACATTCTTAAAAATTTTTTGGTCAAAATATTTCTATTAAAATTTAAAACATTAAGGAATCATAATGCATTTTCAATAACAGGCTAATTGTAGAACTGTAACAATAATAAAACATTATGTGAATAAATGTCTTTTTTTTAATAAATGTCTTTTCAATGAAAGAACCAATATAAAACACTAAAGGGATTCAAAAGACAACACTAAAATAATGGTACATTTGCCCGGCCAGTGTGACTCAGTGGATGAACATCATCAACCAATGAAGCAGGAGGTCAGGTTCAATTCCTGGTCAGATCACATGCCTAGGTTGTGGACTCGATCCCCAGTAGGGGGCGTGCACGAGGCAGCCAATCAAAGATTCTCATCATTGATGTTTCTATCTCTCTCCCAATCCCTTCTTCTCTGAAATCAATAAAAATTTAAAAGTAAAAACGAATATGGTACATTCAAATAACTGACTGTAACAGTACATGTATAATTTAAATAATCTGACAAACTGGTATTATTATTCCCCCTTTCAAAAAGTACATAAATCTTAATCTATAAAATACAAAGTAAATTCTCAGTTATAGAAAATTCAAAAGATAAAGGTAGTCTACTGCTTATATTTTTTAAAGGCTCGACCAAAAGTAATGAAAGTTAAACTGCCAATCAATCCATAATATTTTGTCATTGTTTATTAAATATATGCAATTATACAGAAATAATTTACAAGTTAGAGCTATCAAATCTGAATGATGCCATCTAATTGTAGGCTAAATAGAAACTTATTTATTCATACCCAATAACATATTCAGGACATGGCTAAGTCTTTTATATTGACCTCAAAAGCTATCAATGCTTTAAAATGGAGAAGTTAAATAAGAGTGAAATCTGTTATAAAACTTGCACAATACTATTTAAGTACATAGCTTATATCTAAGTATATGTTATATAAAATAAATGTTTTGGGAATTATAAAGTATTTACTTCCTCAATTTCAGAAATATCAAAATATCTTTGGCTATAAACTAGCCTGCATTATCTCAATTCCAACAAATTCTTTCAAGTGTCATAAAAAGATGCATTATAATTAAAATCAAATGCTTGAACAAGGAAAAAGTTGTACAGCCCGGCCAGCAAGGCTCAATGGTTGAGTGTCGACCTATGAACCAGGAGATCACGTCTGATTCCAGGTCAGAGCACATGCCCAGGTTGTGGGCTCAATCCCCAGTGTGGGTCATGCAGGAGACATCTGATCAATGATTCCCTCTTATCATTGATATTTCTATCTCTCTCTCCCTCTCCCTTCCTCTCTGAAATAAACAAAAATATTTTTAAAAAACTTATTATAATTACTAAATTTCTGCAACACCAAAAAGTATGTTATATTTTTTGCATATCTGACAAAACATAGGTATGATTCTGATTCATTTACACTGGAAGGCTATTGTTGTGTTGGCTGGTGTCATTTTTTTTATTTGACAATCAACAGGAAAAGAGGTCAATACTCCTGACTTAGTCAGGTATTGCATATTTTAAAAATTCTTGCAGCACACCAGCATGCCACAGCACACTGCTGGAAAATCATTGGGTATGTGTATATTATAAAAGCACATTAAACTGAGTATAATGAAAAATATGCTCAAGATAAAAATTGAATTCTTCTCAAAATACTCAAAAGGGTTATATTTTTTATTTTTTAACCACAACATAAGATGGAATTATATATACCTTCAATAAAATACTTGCCAGTTACAGAGAGATGTAATAAAGTACTTAAGAGATGAAAATTATGTTTATATTTTGACAAGCTCTAACACAAAAAATTATCATACCTTAATGATATTCTCAATTGGTGGCTAGATATGAAATTAAGGTTCATCACTCACATTAAAATTATAGCATGTTTTAAACATTCTTAGCCTTTCAATAACATTTGAGGCCTCATGTTTTGCAAGAAAACAAATAGTAGCATAAATAAGTGAAAAGGAATTTAAAAATTTTAAAATAATACATTTTTAAATGCTTTCATAATCTCTCTGTGATCATGTACTACATAAATCCCTGATAAATACAATAGATGTCCTTACCATCCCATTCTGGACCCCACACCTATCCCATAAAATAATTGGTTATATAATTTAAAAAAATAGCCCTAGCTGGTTTGGCTCAGTGGATAAGAGTGTCTGCCTGCAGACCAAAGGGTCCCAGGTTCAATTCCAGTCAAGGGCACATATTTTGGTTGCAGGCTCCTCCCCGGCCCAGACCCTGGTCAGGGCATGTGCAGGAGGCAACCAATTGATGTGTTTCTCTCACATTGATGTTTCTGTCTTTCCTTCTCTCTTCTACTCTCCCTAAAAATCATTGGAAAAATAACCTCAGTTGAGGATTAAAAAAAATAATAAGCAGCAAGCAGCATCTGTCTTTGTATACATCTATTCAAAGTGCAAAATAAAACTGTTCATTTACCCTAATAACAATGTTTCCTGCTAATTAGGAGAATGCTGATCTTTGAAACAGAAAAAAACTATCAGCAAGACATAAAACAAAGCTAGAATAACAGCTATCCTTAGAAAATTATGACACAAAAATTACATATATATTTTCATGTTTTCTTAACATTACAGCTTACTATTCAGAATAAATGGATGGTTAATATAGTGTTCTTTAATAAAACCTATCAAGTCTATCAGCTTTTAGAGACTTAGAATTAATCAGAGAAAGCTTCATCCAACATTTTCATTTTAGAGATCAGAAAATTTTGGCAAAGAGTAGTTAAGTCACTTGACCAAGATTACAGAGACAGTTGTTATAAAAATTAGAAGTCAGATATTCTTATTCCTATTATTTCAAAATTCCATCCACTTCACCACACTTGGCTGAACATTATGAATGTGCAGGGAAAGGTTTAAAAGACATGTAAAAACTTTATGGTATATTCTTTAATATTATGTTGTTTTTTATTCGCCATTGCTGGGATATGAGCGTGCCTTTGCATGTTTCTCTTCTCCCAGCCATCCTTAGTTAATAATATTTGTACAGGCTATACTGTTCACATTTACACTTATTGTTTAAGTCTTATTAAAGTTAATAGTATCATACCATTTCTATTTTATTTGAAAAATAGTTAAAATCTGTATCAGTCTGGACACTTTGTAAATTGATACTAATTTTACAAGCAATTTCTTAATCTTAAATATCTGAGTAATGTCCCTTTTTTTTCCTTTGAACAGATTTTAATAAATAGGACTACCATAATGAATAGCAATTAAAAACAATACTCAGCCCTGACCAGTGTGGTTCAGGGTCAAGAGTTCGATTCCAGATCAAGGGCAGGTGCCTGGGTTGCAGGTTGGATCCCAGGCTCCCTGTAAGGGTGTGCGCAGGAGGCAACCAATGTGTCTCTTGCACATTGATGTTTTTCTCTCTCTGTCTCCCTCTCTCCTCCTCCCTCCCTCCTTCCATCCTTACCTTCTACTCTTTTTAAAAATCAATGGAAAAAATACCCTCACTTGAGGATTTTTTAAAATCAAACATTAATGAGAAAGATGTCTGTTGTCACCAATTTGAGATAATCCACTTTCATCAATAAAATAATCTGTAAGAATTAAAAATTCTCAAAAATTAGCAGTTTACATAAAAATATAAAATTGACAGTGCTATACATATTTATATCACACCCTATGCTAGGTGTGTCAATATTTATATCTACTTTCTCTTAAAGTTTCTGAGTTTTAGCCTATTTTCTGGCCTTTCTTTCAAACTTGAGGAAAGACTGTGAGCAGAGTCTTTCTAATGCACTCCTGGTTTTTACAACCAGCTTGAGGTTCTTTTGCTGCTGTTTGTGCCCACATCTAGGGTGGGTTATTATCTTTTTAAAGTCCTTACAGATAGAACCATACCTATTCTCAGGATCATTGTCATCATCATCATCATCCACTGTGACAGGCACTGATTTAGATAAGTCTTCATCTCCTTGAAGGGAAAAAAGCATACTCAAAATTAGTTTTATGCTATCTACATAAGTAAAACCATGTAAAATAAAACAGAAAGCCTAAAACTTTAATAACAACTAGTTGGTTCTAAACTGTATTCTGGGGTCCAAAACATGATTTAAAAGAATTTATAAGAAAGCACATGGATAATTTAAAAAGTGCCAATAGTAAAATGATAAATAAGTTGGATCTTATGTATTTCAAAGTTCCTTTCCAGAGCACAAGGGTTTTACTGCGCATCTTTCAGGTAGCATGTCTTTATCATTTACCATCACATTAGCATAAGTTTCTTACTAAATAAGCTATGTTCATAGTGATCCATTTTAAGTTTAAGGCTAACATATGTATAACTTTTTTCTGTATTACTGAAGAATAGCAAAATTGCTATCAATATTTTGGTGGTACCAAATAATTTCAAATATATTTGAATTTGTATAATATTAATGAATAGAAATACACAGACACATTCAAGTACAGTAAAACTTATGTCCTTATAAAGAGCTACTCTTCTACCTTTTGATTAAAACTCTAAAGACATTAACATTTGGCATTTCATTATATGTAAAATGTGCCTCAAACACAAACTTAAATATTAAACTCTCATTAATACTATATATGCTGAAGTAATTAGGAAAAAGTATGCTGATGTTTATTATTTCTTTTGAAATGTATCCAAAATTTCAAGAGCATTGCATTGAGTAAAAAAAAGCCAATCTCAAAAGGTTACATGCTTCATGATTCGTCTCAAAATAACAAACACAAAAATCAGATAAGTTGGTAGGAGTTAATACGGGGGGGATAAAGAAGGAAGCTGTGCATAAGGTGTAGCACAAGGAAAACTTGTGGTAATGGGACAGTTCAATCTCTTGGTTGTAATTTACAAAGCTACACATGATACAATCTCATAGAACTATATTTATACATACATGCATACATACATACACAAAAGAATAAATGCATGTAAAACTGGTGAATCTAAATAAATCTTTCATTTCCTGGTTTTGACACTGTACTACAGTTATGCAAGATGTTACCAGTAGGAGAACGGTAGAATATCCAAAATCTCCCTGTACATTTTTTTGGTTGCAAATTCCTGTGAATTTATAATTATTTCAAAATAAACAGTTAAAAGGGCACACAAAAGTTAGTAACATTGATGGATAGAAGAATATATAAATAGATATCTTGAAAAACAGTACTCTTTACATATGCAAATACAGTACAATATTAACAAAAGAAACTTTTCTACATATTAAAATTTTTCATAATAACATATTTGAAAAAAATGTTGGAGAGAAAAAAATCCACAAAGAATGCAGACAGCTACATGTTCATGATAGAAATACAGAAAGGCAAAATTAAATACAGAAAAGCAAAAATAAATCTCACAATATCCTAGCAAACTCAGAATACCTTTCAAGCAGACCAATCTTCAAATGAATTATCACTAGTAATACTACTTCTTTACTATAAATTTGACCCATTTCTTAAACTAGTGTTTAAATGCTATCTGTTTACCTCCAATAGTTAGATTAAGTAGCTCACTTGCTAATTATCACACAACCCCATTCTACTTCTATATCTTTTTCTGATATTTTTTAATGATTTATCTATGTCTGTCTTGCTCATTAAACTGCAATCTTCTAGCACCGTGTTCTTAATCTTGGTTGCTTATGCCATTCCCAAGCCCCAATTTCTTTTTTTCTTATTATAATGAATCTTTATTTCTGTAAAAAGAATCTGAGTTTCTAAAAGGCAGTACAGATATGCTAGGAGATAATACATGGTTTTCATATCCTCCGTATGAAATATATGGTATATCTGTAAACACATTATTGCCTTCATAAATGAAAACCGTAATCAGTAACACTGATTTACAGCAAATTAAATTGTATAGAGTTCAGTTTACAAAGAAACATTTCTACTCCCCTTTACAAGCCCCAATTTTTACGAAAATGTTGTACCATGTACTAGGATACCCAACTATTGCTGAATAAATTAGAATCCTCTAAATTCTTGAGAGCAGGTGAGGCTTTTTAAGAGTTCATAAAAATTGTCGCCTAAATTAACTTGGACATAGTAGGGGAACAAATAAATATAGCTTGCTTATATATGCATGCAAGCAAATTCTTAAAGAATGCCACTTTAAAAAAAGAAAAAGAAAAAAAATGAAATAAAACATTAAAAAAAAATAAAAAGAATGCCACTTTTATCATTGGCTTATATCCAAACTTATCTTGAAAAGCAGTACTTTTTACATAGTGCTTGTATTAAATACCCTTCAGATTCTTTTCAGCTTAAGTATTTCTTTGACAAAGTCCATTTTTTAGATTTGTTAAACTCCCTAGCAAATTTACCTTCTTTTTTCATCTAAAGTAACCAGTTCCAAAAATATCCAGGGTAAACAAAATCTGAACAATGCTTATGAGACCGAATAGTTGAGAGATTGGCATCTGCTGAAATTCTGAATTCTTAAGGCTTCTCTGGACATACATATGAGAAAGGATTCACCTCCCCATCAGGACACTAGTCCTTCAGAATAAAGTTACATAAGTCCAAACAGAACACAATGATCTAGACTAGGGCTGGGTTAAGAAATTATTGGGAAATGCCCCCTTTGAGTATTTGCCATATGTTGCCACCTCTTCTTAAGATCTGATGAACACCTACTGCATATTACACTAGGTATTAATAGTTCCAAACATGAAAGATATATCCTAGATGTCCTCATATGTGTCATATATAATTAGATTTGGGGAAATGAAAATCAGTATTTGAAATCAAACATACTGATTTTGCTAGGAAAGCTGTTTAATCATGAAAAACAGCTTTCCAAAGTTTAAGATTAGTTCAATAGCCTAAATTTGCTAATGAGAATAGTCCATGTAACTACAATTTATTATTCTTATACTCTAATCCTTAATAAGAGTTTCCTTAAGTAGCCTGATAACAAAAACATTGATTTGGGAGGAAAACCAAGATGGTAGCATAGTAAACACCTGAAATTGATGCCTCACACTACCACTTCAAAAATACAACTAAAAGACAAAACAGATATCATCCACAACCACAGGAAGGCTGGCTGAGTGGAAATTCTATAATTAGAAGGAAAGAGAAAAGCACACTGAGACTCAGAGGAGGCGGGTGCGGAAAGGGCTGGCAACTGAGGATGCAGTTGTCTTTTTCAATCGGGAGGGAGACACATACTCCTGGTCTGAACTCCAGTTCCAGGAGAGTCTCTGGGGACCCAGACAAATACAGGGAGAAACTGGACTGTCTGGCAGCAGGTGGAATTCAAGGGTGGCTTTCTCTCAGAGGTGCTTGCAGGGATTACCAGGGGACACTGAGACCCAGGCACTCTTA